TTGTTCGCCTGTGTAATTTATATATTATGTGCACTTTGGCATTCTTGATGACTGAAAGAGTAATTTAGGTAATTTCCTAAAAACATATCTGCATTTGCTAACTTAATCCTGTATGCACTTATTCAAGGGATAACCAAGCAGTCAGCTTACTTGAAGAGCCGAAGGATCAACAGTGGCAGCAAACCTGTGAAGACTATAAACCTAATTATGTTAAGGTTATAATTCTGGATGTAGGAGTGAATAGTTTATTTAAATATAAATTTAATTATCATATATTGATATGTGTTTAACATAAAACAGATTGCTTAATGGCAATTTGATAATTTTGTTGCTTAAATTACAGCTTCACAGCGTGATGAATAAGGTGCAGAGTTTGGCACGAGAAGTTGAGAGTTTGTCAGGAGTGTGTCAAGATCCAAATGTCCTTTGCGAAGTAGCTGCTGAAATGGAGCAGCTTCGAGACAGCCTTCTGCACTCTAGTCAGAGCAACGAAAAGTCTTTTGTTGATAAATCTGAGGTCCTTCAACCTTATACTGAACTATAGCATGACAGGAAGGAAGGTATGAGATATGCAAGTGTGTGATATATAGTATTATTCTATCTTCGGAGTATTTCTGAAATATGCTTTTATTAACGTTGATTTATTACAAAAATGTTTACAAAGTAGTGAAGATCAACTATTTGCAGGGCAATGATTCTTCAAGGTCATAGGATCTCATCACAGCAGACATCTAAAGCACAAAGTGGGTCTACCAAATTTGAATAGAAACTGACTTCATTGGCATCAACATAATCAGGCATGGTAAAGCCTGTCATCCCACTTTAATGGGCTAACTGGTGGAATGCCCCTTCTGTCAAGTTTGATCAGCTATACCATCCATGCCTATTATGAGCATGTATCAACAGCATAGGCAATGGTCACTTAATTGATTATTTACTGCAATTTCTCCAGTGGAAGATAAATTGAAATGGAACATCAATTCATTACCCCTAGCAATATGCATCAAAAATCTACAAGTCCAAACAAATTCTCAAAAGCAAGTGTATTATAGTTGTGACAACCCCACATTACCAGAAGAATTCTGGGGTTAACTACAGTATTGTTTTCTGGTGTGAGCACAGCTCCACAAGGAGCCCATTAACAGACCATGTCCCCTTTCCTCAAGTTAAATAAAAATGGATTTTTTTTTGTTAAGGCATAGTTAATATTAATAACCAATTCAAGATACCAGATCATTCAGTAATTGAGAATAGGGTAAAAAGGCTAGATAGGTAGTACTGGTAAGGTAATTAGTTAGTGATTTTGCAGAGCCATCTGTGTACAAACTTGTTCAAGGCATCTGCATTCTGATTCTGGACTGAAAACCCATCCACAAGTATCAGGAAATTTCTTTAATAAACCTACAATCCAGCATTTAAACATGCACTGCCACAAGTAAATATTTAGTTCCTACATAGCAGTGAATACCATACAAGTATATTCAAAGAATATTTATTCCACTTAAGTGAATGTTGCATATTTCACAATTAGCATTGGGACAATGCAGCAAGAGTACACTTAATTCTTCAGCTTTAAAGAGTAATGTAATATCATTAATAAAGCCTTTAATGGAAGCAAATATTGTTCCATCATTACACGAAAATTAATTCAGATCAAGTACAGAATGTTCAATGAGAGGATATCAAAAAGCAAGGTCACCTTCACACTTTATTAACCATGAGATTTTCACACATTATGGAATGAGCAAAGGGGACTATAATCCCTAACAAATGCATTCTTGGTCAGAGAATCTTGGTCTCTTCGTGTATTCTTCTCCCAGGGTCTGTGGTGTGTTGGTTGGCTGAGTTATGCCACATCTTACTCTTCAGGGACTTCAACGCTGCCATCGTTAATACCTTCAATGATGTCATGGGGGTTCTGTCCCTCGACCGTGCACCCAACACTCTTAAAATAATAAAGTTAATACCTATATTAGAAAAGAATTATTTCAAACAAACATTTAAACTGTCTCATGCTTATATACTCTATAGTTTAATAGTTCAGATACTAAGCAGAAGTAAACTTCCTTAGATACAAGATACATACCTGTGCACTTCCCAGAACCTCCTTCAGAGTACCTGAGAGGGCCTTGGCCTGGGAACGCGGTCTCATTGTGCGGGCAATGTCAATCATCTGGTCCAGAGTCAAGTTTCCATTATGCTTAACTGTTGGTAAATACAAACATTTCAATTAACTTGTTCAATGTCTCCCCCAAAATCTCCAAAATATTAAATAACAAGTACTTCAAAAATTTAAATGTTGAACCACTGGGTTAGTGCTAGTTGGCCAGAAAGCCTACTCAGCAACCGTGGGATTCCTTCCTTTGTTTAGGCCCCCTACCAGCACCAACTATAAATACATAGAAGGAGCATTTTGAAAGCCATGTACAGTACATTTCAGTTTCAAAATATAAAAACTGACGTGTTTAGGGTAGAAATGTTGTATAGTTATCTTATCGGAAAGTGAAAGAAGTTTGTTTACATCCTTATGGTACAAGGCAAAATTTGCTTGTAATGGACTGAAAATGTATGGCACTTCCCTTTATGATTAAAGTTGAAGTACAATAAGTATACATTTACATTGTGACCATACCAAGACAGGGAAAATCTAATTACAATCTCAAAGAACAAACATGCTGTGCAGGTTAAGAAATGTAAGAAATGAATATAGGTTGCAACAGGGCAGAAGTCTCAAGTGTGGTCCCTTTGTAAACAATTGCCTTTTACAATATTTGCTATGGAAAACAATTCTTGCATTCTACAAATAAACCAGAAAGAATTGAAAGGTTGGATAGCTGTGCAAAACCTAAAATTTCCCAACATTCTGCATTTGCACTAACATTTACACAGCCTCATTGAATGCAAAAAATGATTATTTAGATAATATTACTGAGTAATGCAAAGAGGGAAAAGACAATACCTTAAAGAACTTAAAAATAGGAGTTGTAAAGATCATGTAAAACTGCTGCTGCCCCATATTAATTCAACAATGAACATATCCATTACATAGCACCACCCCACGAACAACCAAGAACAGAACATAACTGATTGGAAAACTTACTGTGCTTGACCTTCTTGCGGTCACGTGGAGGCTCCTTGAGTGCCTTGATAACTAGGGAGGCAGCTGAGGGCACAACCTCCACTCTAGCCTGCCTGTTTTGGATGATGAGCTTGACAGTCACTTTGAGGCCTTTCCAATCACCAGTCGCCTTCATGATATCGTCACCCACCTTCTTGGGGGACAGACCGAGGGGACCGATCTTGGGGGCCAGGGAAGAGGTGGCAGCCATTTCTCCACCAACACATCTCAGACACACTAAAGGGTTAAAGAAATGAGAATCAGTACCAAAAAATTGTTTATCTAAAGAAGATAATGGATCAAAGAAAACTATGTGTTAACTGTCAAAAATCTTACCTAATTTTAAAGAGATTGAAAAAGATGTCTACCATTAACAGTACCAAAACATTTGCACATTTCCTTGTATAATAATTATAAATATGCATGTACACCAGACATTTTTGGGATAAATATTAGTAAAATGACCTAGAACTAGAAACTTTTGGATTTTTAAACTCTGAATGCAAGTTGCAAAATGCATTCTGGACTAAATTCAACTAGACCAGCACTGGCTTGGGCTGGCCTGCCCACCCAATGGGTAGACTCCACATGGTCCTCTAAACATGCATAAAAAATTGTTAAAAGGATAAAACTTGATTTACAATAACTCCCTAAATTGGACTTGGCCTGTGTCAAAGACTGGTTTGATCTATATTGGTAAGGGCCAAAAAACTTACATGTTTGGAAAGTTAGGACCTTGGATTGTTCCCTTACTGATCATTAACATGTTCAAAAAGTTTTGCGTTATTGCATGAGCATGAAGGCAACAACTTTCACTATAGCTAATCAAATATCAGCAAACTTCTAAATTAAATTTGTTTTATTTGTAAAAACTAGTAATTGTTCAAAATATGTTTGCAAGACATTGACAATGGTATTGATGGATTCTACTCCTCTACTACCAATATAGGCCAATTTGGCATTTCATAAGGCAGGGTTACCATGATGACATTCACTTGGTAAAAACTTCAACAAGAACCTCTCAAATTAAAAGTGAAGTTATCCTGAGCAAAAATGTACGACTATTTAAGAAGTTAAAACCAGAGAAAAGCATTATGAAGTGAAACTAGAAGTGATGCAGCTAAAGTTGAAATCTTCTACCTGCCAAAATTTGGATTGACAATCCTTATAATTGGCCCAATGTGTGTGAATCCAAGAATTTAAGTTCCTTAGCATGAAAATGCTGGAGCTGTATAGCCATTGGTTGTTCAAACCACAATGAAAGAAAAGTAACCTTTCAACACGTTCCCAGATAGTGAGAAGAAACCCGAAAATTGGAAGCAATGGGATCAAGCCACAAAATGCATAAACACTGATGGGAATGGTTGGGCACAAATAGATTTCCATCTGCTTAGAATATTTTATTGAAAGGAAGAGTTTAACCGATTTATAATTTATTACACCTCTATTTCTAATGTAAACCTTTCAACAGGCACCCAAGTGCTCTTATCATCATTCATGCATTTCATGGTCTGATGCGATCACTTCCATTTTTTAGGTTTCTTGTGAACTGGGAATATGTTGTAAGGATAGACCTTTCTTTCCATCATTGTGGTTCAAACAACCAATGCTACACAACACCTTAGCATTTTCATTAAAAAAAAAAAATCTTGGATAAATACAGCAAATCCATATGTACAGGGAGTTCCTCCCAACCCCCAACAACAGTGGATTCTGTTACCGAGGGTGGGGTAAATGCCTCCTGCATCTGACTACTGACCAGTTCTTCATTTTACACCTTAAATTTCCTGGTAACATTACTGCCCTCCCCTGCTCCTGAGGGCAAGATTATGGGAATTAGGGGGTGGGGAGGTTTCAGGCATAATTTCTAAAACACTTTAGTAAGGAATCCATCAATACCAATATAGTTGTGATCCGTCATGCGAAGGTATTCTAAAGTTTACCAAATTTTAAAAATGCAACCTCCATCTGATGAATCTGATTACATCTACAAACACCTGAAAGGTTCAAGTTCCTTGGTGTTGAAATTGTCAACATTAATCCCTGAGGTACATAGTCACCGGGTGTTCGTGGCCACAGAGCCAGCCGAACAGCCTTTCTTTTGAAATGAAACCATATTAATTATAAAGAGTAAATGAAAGCTACTCATTTTCTCCAATCAAAATCGAACAAGCTGCAATATGGGTTGAATTGTTGATTCATGTGTTCCCTGTTACTCATCAGCATTATTTACATGACAACAACACGCCCTGTTCGTGTTTATGGTCACGTGGGGCAACGACACGAACACGAGGAAACGGGCTAACAAAGGGGGAGCCTTCCCGAGACGTCTTACCATCGCCTCAGCGGAAGAAAAGGAAAAGCTTTGGAAACTTAGGAACTAGAGGCCCTAAAGCTAAAACTAAAGGAGCAACCTCTCCTACATTACCTTGCGACCGCCGAAACCATCATGGCCAACGGGTCACCATCAGTCAATGATGTTCTTATTACACAAAATCTCAAGCATTACCGGTCTTGATCTCAGTGGGATCAAACTTGGGAGGCATCGCGAAGCTTGATTAATGCACTCGCGGGAGGATGACAAAACTCAGGTGGTGGATGAACTCTGATGAGAACGACCACAGAGGTGCACCCGCAGTCAGTGTCGTCCAGCGGAAGAAGAGCGACGGAGGTGCTCAGAAAATGAATCAATGATTTGGCGAACTGGCAACTCCATCGTGTTTTGGCGCTTTTTAGAACGTTAGGAAAGTTTTGGAGACCTTTTTTTTAAGCAGGATAATTCTGAATCAATGATACCTAAGTGAGTTACCTTCATCCACTTATAAAAATTACCTGTTATTTGAAAATAACCACTACAATATCCTATACCGAATCTACATATTTTGCCCTTTCTGCGCATGCGCGGAGAACTCATTTTCTGTGACGACTTGGGGGATAATACTTATTTTTCTTACAATTGTTTTTTTCTCACCGGAATTCCTACATCTGGCTATATTCTGTTTCATTTGCACATCAAATGCTAATACTGGTTTCTTTTCATTATGGTCAGGTGTAGGCTACACATCGCAGATATTTAATGTAACTTTCAATAACCTATCCATACATCATAATTTTATGATGGTGCTTTGCGAAATTGAGTCTGATGTAAGGAGTTATTTAATTTAGAATGCCTGTAATTTAGCAATATATTTTCTTGAACAAATTTTCAGTAGTTCCAAAACATTTTGGTATCGTTACCCCCAGTTTAGTTGCGATAGATGACATTAATGACATTACCTCTACCACAGCCATCGTCAGTTGTATGTAATTAAAAGAAAGGAAAATGCTGATATGCTTAATTTTGTACGTATTTCATAAGCAAGAAATTAATGCAAATCTTAAAGAAATATTCTTGAATGAAATGTCTACGTCCATACTACCTGACCAATTGACAAATTCTTTAATTTCCTTTTGCATTCATGCAGTAAGTGAATTATCATCGTTGTTTATATATATGTACTGATATATGCACACACACACGCACACACACACACACACACACAACACACACACACACAACACACACACACACACACACACACACATACCATATATATATATATATATATAATATATATATATATTAT